CGCCCGCCCGCCCGCCGCGCCGGAGGGGCCGCGCGCGCTCGGCGCTCGCCACCAGGTAATCTCACAGGAAGCCTCCCGGATTGGCCCGGGCGCTCAGGACGGGATTTGCATTTCAATGGCGAGAAGGCTCCCAAGGTTTGAAAGCGGATGCTGGGTGGGAGAGTCGCGCTCCACTCGCTCCCCCGCGGTCCTCTGGTCCTCGCGGTGTTCAGGGGACCGACGCGCACACTTTACAGTCACAAAGGTGTCATACTTCTACACCCCGCTCCCAACCGGCCCATTCTGAAGTGAAGAGGAATCCAGAGCAAAATGTCAACGTTAAGATGCCCGCGCTCGCTTTTCAGGGACTTTACAGTTAGTAATTGATCAGATGAAGCATGAATGAAGCAAGGTAAAAAGTTCACAGCTAAAAAAAAAAAAAAAAACCCAAAAAAAAAAAAAAAAACCCAAAAAAAAAAAAAAAAACCCAAAAAAAAAAAAAAAAAAAAAAAAAGCTCACATTACAAAGAAAATAACCATCCTTTTTTTTTTTCTCGGTACGTCCTTTTTTCATTCTAACTCAACCGGAGAGACTCAGCTTGCTGCTGAGCGACGAACGCTGCTGAAGCTTCCCTTCTCTTTCCCTTTTTGTTTTCAGGAGCACCGTCTCCGATTAGAATAGGGAGAGGTGATTATTTCAGTCGCTGGAACTGTTATCCTTCAGGAGATTTTTGATTCAGTTTTGCAAATTTTGGGGTTGCAGACAATATATCGATTTGCATTTGTTTTACATTTATGATACAGGTGCTCAGTTAATATTCTCAAGGAAGGGATGGTGCTGTTTTCAGTTTCATCTTTCTTCAAAGGTGCTTCCAGCCTCTTTTCATGGAGGTGAGATTGTTTTTCCTCAGAGAGTACCTCTCTTAATTGCTTTCTCATGTCATCTCCGGGGATTAAAATAACAGTAAGGTTTGAAATTGGCTTTATTCTCACTCCAGCAGAATCCCTATTGTTAAATTTCCAGGTTCTATATTTAAGGCAATAAATATACATTCAATCACAGAGAACAGGCTACCTAACTAGGTAGGACCTAGAATCTTCAGTTACTGTACAGCTGATACCATTTGCCTTTACTTGGCTGTGCTCTTTGTTATATCCTGGCTGAATGCAGAAGCATTAGTAGCCACAGCAACCACTGAATAAACCTTTCAACTGAAATCTTCATGGATACTCCCCCATAAGGTATTATCTCTCTTAAAATTGTATTTTGTTTTACATATGGAGTCACAAGCATGGACAAACACACACACCTGTCACGTAGTCACCAGGTACCCACAAACATTGTTGCTAGGCATTGGAAACAGGGAGGCTAATGTTGCCTGTCCTATGCCCTAATGTCCTGCGGAAATACAGGTTTTAGGAAGAGGAGGGTGATGTCCAGAACTTAAGCTTTAAAGAAGTGGTCAGCCTCTATAGTTTATAAAGCACATTGCTGTTGCTGCCACTGTGTTGGGGAAATAAGAAATATTAGCTGGAGAACGCAGCCAGGAGCTCTGTAGGCAGAACAGAAAAGGCCTTCTCTCCTGCTGCTTCTTTATCTCATTTTCTAAGTGCTCAGGGTCAGGTGAAATCTCGTAAGGATGGAACAGAGCCCTGTATTCGTATGTGAAACAACACTTTAAATTGGTGATTAAAAATACACTTTGGGTCCAAATCTTAACCTCCCACACAGCCTGTATTATACCAGTGAAGTTCATCACTGTGACCATAGGTCTCTGAGCTTCCATTGTACCATAGATTCTGGGAAAATGCTTTTTACTTGTATCTGCAATTTAGAGGTGTCATCAGATATTTTTGGATGGAAGGAAAGTAACCTGTATCAGGGGATCAAAGGTGAGACATGAAATGAAGACATCTCAGCAGCAATACAAAATTATGCTAAAGTCTGTCTGCATGAGCTGGGGTCAAGTTCCCTCACCTAGTGCCTCAGTTCTCCTTCTGCAAAATGGTCTGAGCCTTCCTTCACAAAGCATAACTAATAAATGAACCTGAAATATTTACACATATCGAGTGCGTATATGTATAAACTCCAAGCCACTTCATTAAAAATGTTTTCTGTAAAGTCGCACTGCCCTTTAGTTCCTGTATTAAGACTGCTTTCAGAAATGATGCATCACATTAGAATCCAAAGCATTTTATTTTTTTAAATGAACAAATCTATTGGTGAAGAGATAAAGCTTTTAACAAATGCTAAAAGATTTTGAGAAAGTAACAAATAGGAAAAAAGCGCACATCCTGCTCTTAGAAAGGGCATGCATGGCCAGTCTGGAACCTGCTATTTGCTTACTTTTTCTTTCGTTTAAAGTCATGATTCTTTTTTTATTTTTAACATCTTAATGGAGATATAATGCACATACCATTAAAATTTACACTTTAAAAAAGGCATGATTTTGCTCCCCTCCCTAAAGCCTTCTCTGATGCTGGAGTGGGTGGTAGAAAGAAAAGACCAGAGAGACTGGAGTAAGCCCCTAATGGAGTGGGGCACCACAGCAGCCACCTATACAGAGATGCACCAGAGTGAAGTGTGCAAGGACCCCAAGGTGGCGATGGGAAAGGGGTCATGAGTCTAAAGCAGGAATGGTGACAGGACCGGCAGCCCTGGCAGCCAGTACAGCTCTCCGTGCATTCACAGGCCAAATCGGTTTCCTCCCTTCTGTCTCAAATATTTCAACCTACAAATCCAACTTTCAGTGTGAGATAAATATGATAACATGTAAAAAATATTTAAATTTGCATCAAATTAGATTATGGTGCTTGAGGATCTAGTATAATTCAGAATGGTCTAATTCATATTGTATACATATTTAAAAGTTTGTTTTCCTCCTACAATTGTCAGGTCTTATTAGTAAGGAAAAACCTATGAGAATGAATATCTTTTCAAACAAAAAGCTCTAGAAATTTAGGATTACTGCCATACATTTCTAAATCCTATGGATATTTTTTCTTTTTTTTTTGACAGCTGGCCAGTATGGGGATCCGAAACTGTGACCTTGATGTTATAAGGCTACTCTTTAACCAACTGAGCTAATTGGCTAGCCCATCTCTAAATTCTAGATTCAGCACTTATTCTTTGAATTATTTTATTTTAACTAGTCTAACATATTTGATTAATTGTATCTTTAAAAAGATTGCCTATATAAATCATATATATGATTTGGATTCTGAAGTTATTTTTCACAAATTTAGCTTCATTTTTACATTATGGTAGTATGGTTTTGAGATGTTATACTTTAAAATATTAAATTAAATTTTACTTAGAAATAGTCTACTATTCTTACCAATTCAGTTTGGAATTCTTTCTAGTATTTCAAATAAATAAAATTTTCATGTGAAAAATATGATTTGAAACATGAGTCTTTGCTAAATAATAATAATAGTAGCAACTCCTTCCTGCCACAGCCATACAATAAATTCCCTGGTTCATCTATATTCTACTTTTGAATGCTGACACCTTAGAAAAACAATGTCAATATCTGTTGAATATTGAAAATCAGTTCTAGGGACTGTTTAATGATCAATATAAATAACACACAGCCAAGAAAGAACACACTTGAAATATGGATTGTTTGCTTCATAGAGAAAATGTTAGAGAGAACATATGGTATTCTGCCTTCTCAAATGTGTGTTTGGGTTTAGCGTGAACATTATATAACTTCTAGCATAATACTAATAATATTTTGATTTTTTGAAATATTTTGATTTTTTGAAATATTTTGAGTTTTTGAACCACTCACATCAAAATGTGAAATACAAGTGAACAACTATCCTGACAAATAAAATCTTAAAATGGAAACTTAAAGTAAGGAAATGAATTTAAAAACCACTTGAAATCTTAGAAATGATTTATTTC